CTCACGCAGTGTTTGTATGGCGAAAATATTAACTTTGCACTGTTGAACCACTTTCTCGGTGCCAGTTTTGATTAAATACTCCAACAGTATGAGCGCCTTGTAGACATGAAGCCAATTCTATTAGTGAGATTGAAAATAATAGCACTTTGGGGTTAGAGGATGAAATAATAATAAAAATGTTTAAAAACAAATGCTTGCGTTTTTGGTTAAATATATATGTCGGTAGATGTGTGTGAATAACAATAAATTTATAATAAAAACAAAATTTTTTTTATTCAAATTTCGATACTAAAAATTATTTTGATTTACTTTAATATTATTTTTGTTTGCGGTTGCAGAAACCAAAACATAACCGTCTCACACGTGCCGCACACTTAATTGATCCGAAATAAATTAGTATAAACAAAAACTGAAATGATAACGAAAACATTCTAAAGAAAGCCACAAAATTTAAAATGCCAAAGTGCACACTTTTTATTGTGACAGCAGTTTAAATAAGAAAGTGGATTTTTTATGTCAGTGCACCCAATTATTGCAAATAATGGACAAGAGTATAAGCGATTTTGAATGATGACATGGATAAGTATTGGTTTTTGATGATACTGAGGTGGAAAATTTACTAAATATGCATATATATTATATATGTGAATATTTTTTTAATACAGAATGGCATCAGAATATACGCACACTTGAGTGACATATATAATTTGAAACAAGCATGTTTATTGAACTCAATGTTTTATTAAAACGATCTAAAAGCATTTGAGTGGGATAAACAATATACATATATATGAAAGCAAAAGCATTTAAGCAGAAAGTGTAATTGTTGTAATTTCGGAATACATTCGGAGTAGTTTCGGAATATATTCGAAAAAGTTTCGGAGAAATTTGAGTAGGAGAAGACGGGATATATAATTTCGGAATATATTCGGAAGCACTTAGGAGTAAATTAAGAGTGTTATTTAGAGTATAATAGCAAAATATTTTAAAATTTAACTAGGTTTTTATTGCATTTTTATCACTCTTTTGTTCAATCGTCGTAGCAATACGTACGATTACCCTATTTATACAGTGTGATAAATTAAAGTGGTAGATTACAAAACTTTTTCAGCTTCAAAATTGTATTATTAAATTTTTTACTACTTCAACCAAAAGAATAGAACTATGGAATTTAACCTAAGCTTATTTAAAAGAGTTCTGCTCATATTGAAACTATGTTCTTACTTTTCAAGGTCGAATAAAAAATTTTCAACGGACCAGTCAGGATTTCGTAAGATGGTAAGTAATACCAATACCATATATCAAGGTCTTACAATTTCTGGATGCTTATCTCTCTGCTTTTAGGCGGCAGTAGCTGCAACTGTCTTCTTTCGTGCTTATTGCGATGTAGCTCCATACATAATCTACTATATAATATTGTTGATTTTGTTGCTGTTCCCTCGAGCGATACTATCAATTCAATTGACCGTTGCAATAGTAGTAGCAACTATAACAAGACTAGATGCCATAGTATGTGGCAGTGGCGTTAACTGAAATTGCACTGTGGTGAACACGGCAGGTGATCGTGGCGATACAAATGCAACTCTCCAGCAACATACACGCCTATTATATGTTGCTATAGACCAACAACGGGCGCTTACAAAGCCTCACAGCCTCACTAGTTCACAGACTGTGCGCATGCC